GGAGAAAGGGAAGGCGGACGTTGCGACCAACTTCTATCAACATCTCTTCACCACGGAATCTCAAATTCATGATATGAATGAGAGGGTGGCTGACCTTCCTATTGCTTCCAATGTGACTCCGGAAATGAATGCTACCATGACCGCTGAGGTTAGTCCGGATGAGATCCGCAAAACGGTCTTTGCAATGGGCTCAAAGCAGGCGCCAGATTCTAATGGCTTCACGGGGAAATTCTTTAAAGCCTACTGGGGGATTGTGGGGGAGTCGGTTGTGGCTGCGGTTGGCTCTTTCTTTGCTACTAGCAGGATGCTCCGAAGTTTTAACCACACCTGGTTGACGCTAATCCCAAAGGTGGATCAGGTGGAATCCATGCGTCAACTTCGACCCATCAGTTTATGCTAGTTCATATATAAGGCGATTACGAAGATCATGGCGGAACGGCTGGCCGGGATTTTGCCTCTCATTGTCTCGGACGGTCAGAATGCCTTTATCAGGGAAAGCCAGATAATGGATAATATTCTGATAGGCCATGAGTTAATGCACTATTTGAAGATCAAAACTCGGGGAAAAAAGGATACATGGATCTCAAGGTTGATATGGAAAAGGTCTGTTATAGAGTTGAATGGTCCTTTCTTCTTGCAGTTTTGGAAAAAATGGGTTTTAACTCGGTCTGGCGTGGATGGGTGCTGGAATGCTTAAAGTCAACAAATTTTTCGGTCCTTATGAATGGATCTCCGTCTGGTTTCTTTGCGCCCTCTAGGGGACTCCGACAGGGGGATCCCCTCTCTCCCCTTCTTTTTGTGCTTTGCACGGAGGGCTTTGCTGCCTTACTTCGTAAAGTCATCTCAGAAAAGAGGCTGGAAGGAGTGAAGGTGGCTCCGCGGGCTCCCCGAATTTCTCATTTGTTCTTTGCTGATGATTCTTACTTATTTCTCCGGGGTTCCCTCCAGGAGTGTGAGAATTTGATAGAAGTTCTTAATGAGTATGAGGAGCTTAGTGGCCAGAGGGTAAATTTCTCATTTAGTAAGAACGTCTCGTTGCCAGATCAAGAGTTCTTGGCGGCAATCCTTGGTGTAGGTGCTGTAGGGGTACAGGATAAATACCTTGGTCTACCCACTTTGATTGCACGCTCCAAGACGGCCACTTTCCGCTACCTGAAGGAGAAGCTTTTAGAACGTTTGCAGGGGTGGAAACGCAGGACTTTATCTTGGGCAGCAAAGGAAACTCTGATTAAATCTGTTGCCTTAGCTCTTCCGCTCCATGTGATATCCTGCTTCCGCCTGCCGTTATCGCTTTGCCGCCTCCTGGACAAGCATGTGGCCAGATTCTGGTGGGGGGTTGAGGATGGTCGGTCCAGGATTCGGTGGGTCTCCTGGCGTAATTTGTGTAGAAGTAAACATGAGGGTGGGATGGGTTTTCGCCGGTTCGAACAGTTTAATCAAGCGTTGTTGGCTAAGATAGGATGGCGAATTCTGAATGAACCCCAGTCCCTCTTAGCCCAGGTCTATAGAGGGAAGTATTTCCCGCATGGATCCTTTCTTTCGGCTACGGCGCGGTCCCGCCCATCCTGGAAATGGCAAAGCATTCTCTTTGGGTGGCAGTTATTGACTAAGGGTTTGCGGTGGCAGATTGGGAATGGACAAAAGGCCCCTTTGCTTAAATCAAACTGGATCCCGACTCAACATCCTTCTTCTCATGTGTATAACCCACGTGTTCTGCCGGAAGATGGGGAGGTGACGGTCTCTGCTGTCCTCTGTCCAGGGAAAGGGCGTTGGTGTGAGGATAGGCTGAGTTAGTGGTTTGACCCTCCGACTTGCCAGGCGATTAAGGCGATAGCCCTGCCACGGCAGCATATTGAGGATCGATTGATCTGGCATGCCACGGAGGATGGAATTTTTACTGTCAAATCGGCTTATCATTTGGCGGTTCGTCTGGACCAGCAGAGTGGGAGATGGCGGGCGCGGGTTAGTTGGATGGACAAACGTAGTTGGATCCGGGTGTGGGAAGCTAATATTCCTCCGAAGCTAAAGGTGTTTGTCTAGCAAATCTTGACCAGAATTTTACCAACGTCTGAGGCCCTAATAGAAAAAAAGGTGGAGGTCCTACCCCGATGTCCTGTCTGCTGGGCTTTAAGGGAGACAATGGAACACTTGTTCCTTGATTGCCCTGTGGCTAGGGCTCTGTGGTCGCAGGCGGGGTTTGATTCTCTTGGCGAGAGATTGCCCTGTCATACATTCCTCCTCTTCCTCAAGAAATTGCTGGCTGTTTTGCATCAACCTTCGCAGTTCATGGCGGTAATTGATGTCCTGTGGTGAATTTGGAGATCCAGAAATTGGGTGGTCTTTGAAGGAAAATAGTTCAGCATTCCGACGCTCTTGAGGCAGTATAACCAACAAGTAGGGGAATGGCTCGGCCTGCCTCGGGACCCTCAGTCTCCCTCTCCTCATCTGCCTGCTCCTCCTACTGTGGAAGTAAGCGGATCAGGGGGACTTGTGTGTCGTTGGGATGGGGCTGTTCGACGTGGGTCGCACTCTGCTAGTGGTATGGTTCTTCTCAATGAGGCCGGGACGCCGCTCTGGGCTGTGGGGTTCAGTTTCCCAACTTGGATGATCCAATGGTGGTGGAACTACTTACTCTTCGGGAAGCAGTTCGTTGGTGTTTGGCGCACGGGTTTCTGGTCATGCGGTTTGAAGGCGATGCTAAGGTGGTCATTGATAAGATCTGCAGGGCTGATGTGCGAGACAGTCGGATGGGGGCTATTTTGGAGGAGATGATTCAGATTTTTTTCAGGGTAAATCCGGGCTTTAATGTGCGATTTATAGGTCGGGGTGACAATAGGGTAGCTCATTTGGTAGTAAGACAGGCCCTGTCTTTGTTCCCGACTACGTGTCATTATTTTGATTTCCAGACCTGGCTGGCTTCCAGGATGTAACTACCGATTGGTTTCTATCAATTAATGATTATCTTTTGTCAAAAGAAAAAAATTCCAAAGCCAAATTGTAATTTTGGAATTTGACTTGCCACCATTAGCTACCACTCCAGTCCCACACCTACTAATTAGTTCAAGTGGTCGTGTGTTTCACTACCTCAATATTAAAGCTTATTTAAGTAGAATATAAGATCGTTCTGTGAAAATTTCAAGTCTGCGAGTTGACTTTTGCTTCAGAATCGTATAAAGAGTAATATAAAATTCATAATTAACTTTCTTCAACGACTCGAGTTATTATAAATTATTGATTTCCGAAAATAAAAAAAATTATAATTATCGACGCCAACTGGTTCGTTAATCCCCCAATTGGCATGTCGAGCATGTCAATTAACAATTGGAGTAGATATTGACGCACGCAATAATTGTAATAAATACGGTCAACATATCGTTTTGTATCTGCATGCATGCCATTGGCTTGTTCATGCACAATTTACAATTACAAAAAGTTCCACACAGGAAATAGATATTAATTGTGTAAATTGGAAGCAAGTGCCTACTCATGTGCATATAAGTAGTATTATTGTTCACTTGCTATACGCCTACAACTTGATCTGACAATACTAGAAAATAGAGATCACAAACCTAATATGAATTAGATGCTCGATCTTCAACTCCAAACCACTCCAGATTTGAGGGATCGCACATTAATGATTAAGATTCATCGTAACTTAAAACCTCGGTCTTCTTTGGAAGCATGAAATCATGAACGACTTGGATTATATTCTATCCCAACAGCCTGTGGTAATGGAACCTAGCTATAGCTGGTACCAAACTTAAAGGGGCGGCCCAGATGTTCTCCTCCAGTTGTTTTGGCTAAGGTGGTGAATATGGGTGTGGCTGTGAGTTTCGGCACATCGACTTATTAATGAGTTGATATAATAGTGATGGTCATTCGCTCATATAATTTTCTTGTGTGGATAAGGATGAATGGACGGAGGGTTGTGGCCTTGCGGGTTAATCCGTAAAATAATTCTTTAATTATAATTAAGTTAGATTGACAAAATTAATAAATAAATTACATGCAAATTAGGATGATATTTTAGCAATTTAACCACCTCCAACTTTGTTGTCAATGGATTTGATTAGTAAGTGCAAAGTTTTGTATTACTTATGCCAACTGTCCATTGGGCAACTTTAGATTAAAAGAGAGACACCAAAAACATAATGGGAACCAAGGCTCTTCACATTGTGGATTTCACTTCTTTGGAGTATCAATTTTCCATTACTCTATCACTTAGTTATATATTGCAGCAAATTGGTAATTGTTGTCACTTTGTTATAATTATTTTTTGAAAATTTTTAGTAGTTGAAAATTTTATTTGGCCAGTGATGGTGATGCGGAGTGGTAATGGTTGGAAGAAAACAATTAGTTGGGGATTTTAGAATAGCTGGGTGGTTAAGCTATTTCAAAATCCTATACATGCAGCTTTTTGAAATTCTGCATGGCTAAAATCTCTCATTTTTTAGCCTTCCCAAGTATAGGATTGTGGAAAATCCGGGAAGGTGAGGGATTGTGACAAAATGATGACGTTTTGCTTTATGTGTGGGTTGAAAGGAAAGCAGTTTGAGTTTGACAAAATCCAAATTCGAATCAACTCGCCAAATTCAAAAGTGGATAAAACCCACACCCAAGTTAAAATCCATCTACACTAGGAGATTTACGGCCAACAACCCATCCATACAAATGGTCCACCCACGACATTCTGAATTTGTTTTAAGAATATAAAAGATTTAATCACAACTTCAAACTAGGTATATCAACGTATTGTGTACCAAAACAGTTCTAGTCTTACTAATACTAATAATTTTTTCTGTATAACTTCAACCAACATGTTTGCAAACTACATTTATGTTGAACATTACATAAAAGAAAATCATATCCACTCATTACTCGTAGTATTCGAGTTCAGAGTGTTATACACACTCATTAAAAATCATTCATATTCGAACTTACCTATTCAAATCTCATCTTTTCTCATCCCTATTCAAATTTCGCCGAGGATAACTAGTGGAGGCTAAGTTGTGTAAACAATTGGGCCTTAGATTTCGAAGCCTAGCCCATAAAAAATGCTGATTCCGCCATTCATTCAAGTGCAGTTCCGCCATTAAAATGGTTGAATAAAAAAAATCTTTTGATGATTATCTTCTCCTGAAAGCTCTCTACTTGGCTGCAAATGCAATGAATTCGTTAGCGTTTTCAGTTGGGCGCTACCACACTCCCGGGAAAACTAAGCTCAGCACAACGACAGCCGTGAAGAATGCTCGAACAACCGAAGCACCAACTGCCAAGTTCCCAACTCGTCACCAAGTAGAAGGCTCCTCCCAGTCCCAACAACTGCAGCTTAATCAGGATCAGATTTTGGTCCGCCGGAGGGAAGCGATAGGCGTCGGATTCGCGGCGCTCATCGGCGCTGTGTTTCAAGGGCGGCCCACAGCAGAAGCGGCAGAGACAGCTTCATGTCAATTCACTTCGGCACCGTCGGGCCTCGCCTTCTGTGACAAGGTCGTCGGGACTGGCCCGGAGGCGGTGAAGGGGCAATTGATTAAGGTAATCTGATAAGAACCCCAATTGAACGAAATTCGATCAATCCACTTGATTGGCGTGGTGGGTATTGGAAATTGGTAACGAGATTTCGAGTTCGTGGGTCATACAGGCGCATTACGTTGGGAAATTGGAAAATGGGCAGGTCTTCGACAGCAGCTACAATCGCGGCAAGCCCCTCAGTTTCCGCGTCGGAGTTGGTGAGGTAAGAGCAAGTGGTCTCTGTGCTTTAAAGATATGGGTTTCAATCGAGATGCAGACTTATGGAAATATGGGTTTGAGATGTTAGATGACTTAAATGTAGTTGAATTGAGAGCTCTGTAATTTACTGGTGTAATAGGTGATCCAAGGCTGGGACCAAGGAATTCTTGGGGGTGATGGAGTACCTCCTATGCAAGCTGGTAATATACCGATTCAGTCTGGATGATTCTGAACTAATTCGGAGCTTAAACTCAACTGCCATTGATCCTAACTGAACAGACAGTATGAACTATGAAGCCTGAAATTGTGTCTTCATCTTCAATTTTCAGGGGGAAAACGCATATTGAAACTTCCACCAGAACTTGGGTATGGCGTTAGAGGGGCTGGCTGCAGAGGAGGTAAGTGATAATCAAAGCCCTCAACTTCAGTCTCTCAATGGTTGCTGCATACTGTTCCTTCAATCTTGAAGCTTTGGCTTTGACTAAGGGAGATGGTCTTATGTTGCTTAACTGGGGTTGACAGGTTCATGTGTAATCCCTCCCAATTCGGTTCTTCTGTTTGATGTGGAGTTCATCGGGAAGGCTTAATCCTCTGGTAAAGGTGCTTCTACTGCTAGAGCAAGGAATGGCGGGAGCTCTGCATTATCGTGGAAGACGACAGATGGAGCTATGGAGGCTTCATCCAATCACCCCATCCATTTGGTTTCGTGTTATTTGGCCTGGTTTGTTTGTGTCTTTGTGATTATCTTTGTAGACGGATGAAATATGACCAATGATCCTTTAGCAACGAGTTTAATTCGTCGTAATATTGTTGTCAAAAATAATTTTGATGGATTGTTATGGTAATGGGCCGAGCTGTGTTGGGCTGTTGGACCAGTGGCCCATTTCTTACCGTTTATTGTAGTTAATATCCGCTTTCCGAACTCGCGTATCCAAACAACCAAACACCCCCAAGGCCCAAATCTAGTCACCGACTTCGATTGAATAATAGTAATACAATGCTGAATGCATCATGATAAACCCTAAACGCCCAGACCGCCTTTCCTTCTTCAGTTTGCTGCCGCCCAGACAAAGAGAAAAGCTCTCCCAAAAGGAAATCCAGACCCAACCGCAGAGGAAGCAGAAAGCAGTCAGAGATGGGGAAATCCATTAGGTCGAAGCGGGAGAAGAGGCTGAGAGCCATTAGAAGGGACATGATTCAACCCCTCTACGACAAGATAGACGAAGCCAAGCTTGCAGCCATTCAAGCAGCGCTCGCCGCTCCAAAGCTCCCCGTCAAGCCCTCGCCGTTCGAATCTTCCTCAATGGACACTTCCACTGTTAACATCGTTGATTCAACCCCGACTGCCAACGCTGATGATGGCATGCTTCAGACCACCAACGCTGCTGGTGGTATGCTATCGATCTCCTTTTTGATGTTTTGGGTGTGTTTGTTGTTTCGTCAATTTACCGTGCTTGAATGTGGAATTGAATTGGGTTTTGGTGGTTCTGTGGGCAGATATTGAAATGGATGACGAGAACGGCAAGAAGTCTGCAAAGCCATGGGGGAAGAAGCTGAAGAAGAAGTTCAAGCTTGCCAGAAACAAACGCCGCGGTGGCAAGGGTAACTTCAAGCTCAAGAAGAGACGATCTTAATCTGTGCGACACTGCAACCAAATTTTTGGCCTTTCCTTTCGTTTCTGCTGTTTGGAGTGATCATTCAGAGACATGTTAGCTATAGGCTTTGAATTAGACCGTTGTGGCGGTGTTTTGTTCTGATGCTCTACGCTATGACAGTATCATTCTGCTTTGAGGAAATGTTATTGAAATGTTAAGCCTTTTATTGGTACATATCACAAGTAAGCTATCCAAAAAAGTTCACCATTCGATGTCTTTTTTCCTGAACTCTTTTCTCAGTAGAGTTACACAGAGTCCCAAGAACCCGAATCCGAACCCTAGTACTATACTAACATACAGTCCAGTACCCAATTCAAAGATTTCGTCTTCTTCGTCCTCTGGTTCTGTTCCAGTTGTTGGTGGTGCTGTTGTTGTTATACTTTCTGTTGGACATTTAACTCGGGAAGGAAATCCACAGAGGAAGGGGTTACCCTGGTAGGAAGATGCATCAAATGTTTGGAGCTGTCTTCCTGCTGGAATCTTCCCTGAAAAGTTGTTATACGAGACTATCAAATGCGTCAAAAATGTTAAGGACGACAAGGTTGCTGGGATCTCCCCGGAGAGCTGGTTATGAGACAAGTCCTAACGTTTCCAGGACTTTCAAGTCTCCTATTTTCTCTGGAATGGCTCCACTGATATGGTTGCTCGACAAGTTCAGAACCCTAAGAGATAGAAGCTTTGTCATCTCTTCGGGGATTGGGCCACTCAAGTTGTTCTCCGAGAAATCAATGACATTCAACAGAGCTAGATTCCGGTTGTAATCGTATGCTCTCCCTTTGGTCACCACCTTGGTTTCCTCCTTGAAGTAGGCCATACGGAACTGGAAGTCCCGATAATACAACTCGCTGCTGTTTCCGTAGACAATAGCGGTCAAGTTGTCCAGGCACTTGGGGATCCCACCCGAAAGATTGTTGTGGGACAAGTCCAAGAAATGAAGCAGCGGGAGATTGCAGAGTGCTTCTGGGATCTGTCCGTGGAACTGGTTAGATCGAAGACGGAGCACAAAAGTGGCCGATAAATTTTCGGCCAACCATGAAGGTATTTCCCCTGAGAGCTGGTTTTCTCCAAGGTCGATGCTGGTCAATGCCGAGCAGTTCTGCAATGAAGATGGATTTCTCCGACCAGATTGTTTTCGCTCAATAGCAGCATTCCAAGCGATCTCAGCAGTCCCATCGAGCTAGGAATCTCACCTGATAAGCTATTGTTTGAAACATCAACGACCCACAAGGACGACGTTGACAAATCCCTCCAGCAGTCAGGTAGCTCTCCTGAAAGGTAATTGTTCCTGAGAGAAAGAACTTGCAAGTCTGCCATCTTGCATATGGATAGTGGAATTGTGCCGTTTAGAGTGTTGTCTGAGAGGTGAAGGTTTCGCAATCTTGGCATCAGCGTGCCAATGTCCCGAGGTATTGGACCTGAGAGTGAGTTCTCATGGATGTAAAACTGAGTTGCATTGGTAGACCAGCGTGGGAGAAATCCCTCAAAGCGATTGGAGGAAAGATCTAGCATTTCTAATTTGGGAGAAACCAGTTCTTCAGGAAGCTCGCCCCTGATCTGATTCTCTGACAGGTCCATGACGAGGATTTCAGCTGACAACTCAGAAAACCATTCCTTTGGTATGGTGTCAGAAATGCCGACATTTTGGAGTTTCACCTGCGTCAGACGATTCTGAACTTGAAGCCAAGTGGAAAATGGAGGGCCGACAGTACAATCCTCGAGTTGAAGATAGTCGAGCCTGAAAGGAGGGATCCACTGGGGATCCACCTTGAACACCAGGGAGCTGGATGAAAGCATCAAGCTTTCCAATCTGGTGAGCTTCATCAGGTGAGCTTCTGTTATGACTCCTTGCCATGAATTTGCAATGAGATTCAAATCTCTTAGCTCAGAAAGTCGGCCAAAACTTTCAGGGATGCTGCCGTTCATCTTGTTCGAGTGTAGGTACAGAACTTCCAATGCTGATAAGTTGCCAATGGATGCTGGAATAGAACCCCAGAGAGAGTTGTAAGCCAGGTCCAGATGTTTCAGATTCTTGAAAAGTCCAATTGAATCGGGCAATTCTCCCACTAAGTCGTTCGAGTTCAGATTAAGCATTTCCAAGCTCACAGTCTGACACCCAGTAAAGGAATTCAGCAACCCCGAAATGTCCCCACTGAATCTGCCTGATGCAAGTCCCAACTTCCTCAAGTAGCAGAGGTTTCCCAACGTGACTGGCACAGGACCGCTGAAGTTGTTCAATGACAAATGGAGGTCCTCCAGAGATTCAAACTCCCAAAGTCAACAGCGATGGAACCACTGAAAGAATTGGTGCTGAGATCTAGTCTAGTTAAGCTAGTAAGAGTAGACAGCCACTCCGGAAACGAAGAGTTAAATAAATTCTGCGACAGATCGAGGACTGAAAGCGAACTGAAATTGACAAATGGCAACGTGACTGCCATATCTTGAAGCTCACAGCCATGGCAGTACAACTCCAGCAGAGAAGGAATCATATTGACAGCGTGCAGCCACTTCGCATCAGAGCTATGAATGGTTACAAAACCGAGATTGAGGTGTTTCAAAGAGGAGAGACCAGAGAGCCAAGATGGGTTCTCTATCTCCATCCCCTGACGGCCACCTGCGCTGAATGAATCGGCGTAGATGTCCAGGTAATGCAAGGTTGACAAATTGCCGAGATGGGGAGGGACCAGTCCAGCAAATGATGCATACGAGAGGTTGAGATACCTCAGGTGCTTGAACTCGCCCAAGAACTCCGGGATTTGGAGTCCTTCGAAGTCGTTCAAGCTCAAGTCCAGGTGAGTCAAGTGATCCAGTTGAAGCAAAGAGGAATTCAACTGACCTCCGAGGCATGACAGTTTGTAGGCGTCCAGTTGCTCTGTGGTCATTGAGTATGGTTCGAGGTTGATGGGGAACGAGTTGCGGAGATCAAGCCTCATTACATTCCCAGTCTTGTTGTCGCACTCAATGCCTCGCCAACTGCAGCAATTGTTTCCACCCCAAGAAGACAGGCGGGCCGAAGGATCGACGAGACCCTGCTTGAAAGCTAAAAGCGCTGTTCTCTCTTGTCTTAAGCATCCTCCGACTGTTACTTGTTGTCCATTGCAGGAAGTGAATTTGAAGATGGCGTTTGAGGAATAGGCAAAGAGAAGGAGAAGGAGCAGTAGGTGCAGGTCGAAGGGTTTTCTGCAATCCATACCAGAAGAGTGTGCTGAGAGGTAACAGTAAAGTTTCTTTCTTTGATAGTACTTTCTTCCTTAATCGAGTATGGACCCTGCTAGGCACATGGCTGAATTTCCATAACGCATATAGTTTATTAAGTTGTTGTAGTGGGAATGGTGTGTGAAGTGTGAACTGTGAAAGAATTATGCTTTCTGTTTAGACGCGTCGGCTGCCATACATTGCAGCAGCGTGTATTACTTACTGCAAGAGAAGAGAGTAATACAAAAATGGGAACTCGAGGAGAACCTGATTGATCCGATGGTGGGGATGGAACGAGTAAGGATATGGTTTAAAAAATAAAAGGCCAGCTGTACGCTACTGAAGAAGTTGAAAATCAAGGGTTTTGTTTTGTCATGGACACGGGAAGGGAAGCCATCCACTGTTGGCGGTGTCTATTATTAGTTTATGAGACAGCCTTCCAATTTCTAATGAATGGGTTAATCTTGACCTGGATTTGTGTGCCTTATGCCTTAGATTAGACTTTCGTTCCTCCCTGTGCTGATTGCTGAATCAAGCTAAGCTTGGAAGATCTAAGTTGAAGGGTACTCTGAAATATCAAAAATAGTTGGGAAGTTGAGGAATCCCAGATTGATCTGTTGGGAAGGTGTAATGATATGATTAAAAATATAACGCTAGCTTATTAACATTCTAAAATAAATAAATAAATAAATAATAGAATGCTAGCTGTACACTACTGACAAATTGTTGAAATTTAAGTTTTTTTTCATGGACATGGGAAACCAATACTGTTGGCTGAGTGTCTATTATTACATTGTGGATAACCTTTCAATGATCACATTTCTCATAAGCCATCTGAATTATAACAATATGAGTTATCTTGAAGTGGATGTTTTTTTACTCCAATTCTTCCCTTCCTGCGCTGATTGCTGAATTTAGTTAAGCTTGGATGATTTAAGTTTAAGGTACCATGAGTCTCTGCCACTTTTATTAGTGAATCTTTGTCGTACGAAGTTTACAAGTATACTGCGAATCTAGTACTCTATTTGATTGTAGTAATAAGGGTACCATTGTTTCTTGGACAGGGGGGAAGAGGGCGTCCGCAGAGTGAGGGATTGCCGATGAACACAGAAGGGTCGTTGAACCTCTGGAGCCCTATGGGGATTCTTCCTTGCAGACTGTTGTACGATAAGTTCAAGTGAAGCAACGAAGCTATAGTAGCCAAACTTGGTGGTATTGAACCCATTAAATGGTTGTGTGACACATCAAGCGCTTCCAAGTGCTGCAGATCTCCAATGCCATTTGTGATTTCTCCGCTTAGTTGATTCCTCGACAGGTTCAGGATTCGCAAGGCACTAAGCTTCGTGATCTCACCAGGAATATTGCCGGTCAGATTGTTTCCAGATAGGTTAATGCCATTGCCGTTTGCAAGAATTGCATCCAGCTCCATTTTCCTTCCCTTCATTGCCACCAGCAACAGCTGTTCAAAGACCTCCCCACTTCTACCTTCTACCATGGCTGTCAGGTTTGGAAGGCACTTGGGTACAGTCCCTGAGAACTTGTTACCAGAGAGGTCCAAGATATGAAGGTTTGGGAGACTGCAGAACTGTGGGAATATTGGCCCACTGAAGGAGTTGAGCTGCAGATTCAGCATAAAAAGGGATTGGAACTTTGTCCCTATCCAAGAAGGTAGAACCCCAGAGAATCTGTTCTTTCCAAGATCCATGCTGGTTAATCCAGTGCAGTTTTGCAAGGAAGCAGGAATCTTTCCATCAAATCGATTGCTGCTCAACAACAGTATGCTGAGAGAACGCAAGGAACCGAATGAAGCTGGGATTTTACCAGTAAGACTGTTGTTTGATACATCTATGGCCCAAAACATGAATGAATGGTACCAACAGTCTGGGATTTCTCCTGAAACGCGGTTGTTCCTGAGAGACAGAATCTGAAGCTCCTGCATATCACACATGGAGGATGAGATCTTACCAACAAGTTGGTTCTGTGAAAGGTATACCTTTTGAAGCCTTGGCATTAGTTTACCGAAGTTTTCGGGTATTGAACCTGAGAACTTGTTGTCTTGAAGGTAAAGGATGCTTGCATTGGTGGACCACATTGGGAGAGGACCTTCAAACTTGTTGGAGCTGAGATCAATGGTGCTTAGCCTTGGAAACTTCAGTTGCTGACTTGGCAACTTCCCTGTGATTTGGTTGCTTGAGAGGACCAAAAAAGTGAGCTCAGAAGGTAAGTTTGAGAACCACTCTCCTGGTATGGTGTCTGAAATCCCAACATTTCTGAGGGTCACAGAAGTAAGTTGGTTCTGGACTTGAAGCCATGCAGGAAAAGAAGGACCGACGATGCAGTTTTCAAGTTGGATGGACTTAAGCTTGAATGGAGGAACCCACTTCACCGGGACATTGAAAATCAACGAATGATTGCTCGAATCCGTGGTCAGTTTGAAATTCTCCAGGCTTCTGAGGTTCACCATGTGAGTTTCTTTCAGAACCCCTACCCAAGAATTCTCCACCAGGTTCACATCAATCAGCGCTGAAAGCTGCCCAAAGCTATCTGGGATGCTCCCGTTCATGTTGTTGTAAGAAATATCCAAGTGCTTCAAAGAGGACATCTTTTCTCCAACAGAATTCGGGATTGAACCCCAGAATCTATTGCTAGAAAGGTCGAGATGCTGCAAATTATGAAGCACAACTCCTAACAGGTCAGGCAGTTGGCCTTCCAATGAGTTGGAACTCAAATCCAAAAATATCAAGCTGCTACTTGGACTTCCTGCAAATCCACTGATGAACTCCTGGATTCCACCATTCATATCATTAGCTGAAAGGTCTAACACCTTCAGCTTTCGCAGACTTCCAAAGAGCCCAGGAATCTGGCCTCCGAAATCCAAATTGTTGGACAAATCAAGTATTTCAAGAGATTTGAGCCTTGCAAACTCACTGGGTACAGGACCATGGAGGAAGTTCCATCTGAGATATAGTTCCCTGAGACCGGTGAGGTTGAACAGCCACTGGGGGATTGGAGCATTGAAAGAGTTGTCTGACAAATCAAGGACCGAGAGCGAGGGGAAGTTGGTACCAAGGGGCAGTGATTGCGGAAGGACTTGAAGCTGGCAGTACTGGAGCTTCAGCTCCACCAAAGATGGCAGCATACTCACAGCATGAAGCCAATCTCCACCATTGCTCGTGTTGATTCTCACGAATCCCATGTTCAAGCGGTTGAGGGAAGCGAGTCGGGTGAGCCAATTCAGATCATCTGCTCTCAGTTCTGCTGCCGCAGTTCCACCATAGGAATCCGCGTAGAGGTCCAGGACTTGTAACTTCGACAGGTTTCCAAGCTGGGGTGGAATTTCTCCACCAAAAGAGGAGAAGGAGAGATTGAGGTACGTCAGATCATTGAGCTGACCGAGGAAGGCAGGAATTTCATTGCCTTGGAAATCATTGAGACTCATGTCCAAGTAGCTCAGAGATGGCAGGCGAAGTAGAGAGGAACTGATGTTGCCGGCCAAACAGGAGCTTTGTAAGCTGTTTGGTCAATGATTCCGCCATTTGCTTGAGGGTAAGGATTCTTGAGGTCGAGGTGGGTGACGGTTTGGTTGCTGCTGCATTTGACGCCAGCCCATTTGCAGCAGTCGTCTCCTCGCCAAGAAGAAAGCCTGCCTGAAGGGTCTGTAAGGCCGGTCTTGAAGGCAAGTAATGCTTCTCTCTCTGTATCAGTGCATTTGGCATATGAAAAGGGAAGAGAATGAAGAAAGAGGAGGAAAGCAGAAACTGGAGATGGGTTCTGAAGTTCTCCATCTTTGTTTCCTTTGGTTTACTTTGGCTCACTAAGACTTAAGTTACTGATGTTATATATTTGGGGTTGGTCCCTGTTTGGGTGCTGGTGTGTGCTGACTATGACCCAATTCAGGCATTCAGTGGAAGAGCACTGCCCACTCATCATGAACCATAACAATATTTTGAAGTAGTGCTGCACTCTGGATTATGTGTGAACGGCTGACCATGTGTGAATGGCGGCTACCTCCAAAGAAACAGCTATTGCAGCACTGGCAGTGGAAGTCGCGCATACTACAACTACATACAGACAGATTTATAATGAAAGGTTTATCCCACGTGCTGATATTAATTTATTTTAGCTTTGTATCAGCTTTGAGTAATAGAATCAGAGATGTTGTACAGCTGATATGCAGTGAAATGGAGAAGAGAAGTAGGTATCAATTTTCACTGGATGGTAGGGATGACAATCAAACCCATGGTCGCGGGTATCCGACCGTCCCGACCCAGTCAACGCGGGGAATTCCTGCTTTGACCGGGTATGAGACGGGTATGAATAAAACCCGCAAAAAGTTTGATGAGTATGGGGCGGGTATGGTTTTAGCCTCCCCCGCCCCATACCCATACCCATATCCGCCCCACCAAGAGAATTTTTTCACATATACAAAAACATGCGGATCAAATTGTAATCTATCAATGGTGATGAGAATAACTCAAATAAATAAATAGTAGAATGTAATTGAGTGACCACCTTAATCAAAACCTATTCATTTCCCTCAATTCTTCTCCTTTCACTCTTTCACTTTCCACCTTGTCAACAAGATTATGTTAGTTAATTATTATTTAGTAGATGTATAAGAGTTAGAACATAATAATTTGAAAAATATTATACTCTATATTATGTATTAATGAATGTTTGAGGATCATATTCTTTGAACCGTATTAAGAAAATGATCGTGTTTTGTTGAATTCGTGATATAATAGGTACGTTTAGAGTTGTAGTTAAAACTTTTCTTGTAAATTTTAGGATAATAATGTTGGATGTACGGGTACGAGTATTACCCATGGGTACCCGAAACCCACGGGTATGGGGATGGGTTTGCCAAACATTCCCCGCATGAATATGGGGCGGGTATGGGTTTGAATATTTGAAGATGGGGATGGGGATGGTTTAGACAAACCCGCCCGTTGCCATCCCTACTGGATGGCTAGCTCATGAAGGAACTGGTTATCCAAAGGCCTCCAACCTTGCCTTCAAAAGATACACGATTGGAGAGGGTTGTTGTTTAGGGAAGGCATTCATATTCATATACTTATAAAAGATTCGGGTACTAAATTAGAACTATATTCCTACCTTATGAATTTTGGGTATTCATAGATAATGAATTTTGGGTATTGTTTAGAGTAGTAATTTTTCATTGGGTTAATACTTTATTTTGACCTGAACTATACCCTAACTTTCTATTTTGGTTCGTGGCTTTTGAAATTGCTCCATTGGCCCGAACTATGCACCGTACTTTTTTGCTTGGCCTGACGCGAGTTTTGACCGTCAAATTTGACAGTCAACTCCATTGACTGTTAGTCAAGCGCCAAGTCACTTACCTCGTCAGCGACCCCGAAATAAAAGGTTTGGAATTTGTATTTATTTAATTCACTTTGTTTTCTAATAGCAATAATAATTAACGGAGAAAAATAATTCAAATTTTTTTATGACAAAAATAATTACAGAAATTCAAAGTTCAAATTTTTTATTCCGAGTTTGGTGAAGTGGCAAGTGACATGGTGTTTGACTAATGGTCAATGGAGTTGATCGTCCAATTTGACGGTCAAAACTCGCGGCGGGCCTAGCAAGAAAGAATGGTGCATAGTTGGGGCCAGGGGAGCAATTTCAAAAACCACGGGCCAAAGTAGAAAGTTTAAGTACAGTTTGAGCCTTTTTCTTTAGGCAAAATACACTTCCATAGTCACAACTTTCACGTTTATGACAGATATAGTCACAACTTTCGAAATACACGAAATAGCCAGAATTTTGATAGTTGTTTGACAAATCTAGCCATTTTCGTTACAAACTTTAACGGTGTTAGAGATTCGTTAGTTAAGTTAACGGCACACTGACTAGGATGTCAAATTGGCGCACACGTTAGCGACAACTCAGCCTCACTTGCCACGTCATAATCAAGTTAAAAAATATTTTAGGCAAAATACACTTCCATAGTTACAACTTTCACGTTTGCTACAGTTATAGCCACAACTTTCACGTTTGTGACAGTTATAACCACAACTTTTGAAATACAAGAAATACCCAAAATTTTGATGTTTTTTTTACAAATCTCGTCATTCTCGTTACAAACTTTCGAAATACACGAAATAGTCGCGACCATGTTCTCGATATCTTCTTCGGGCTCTGTTTGAGAGAGAATGCAACGAATCGGGCCAATTGATAGCGATGAATTGAGCTTCAGCGAAAACAAGAACAACTGCACGCACAACGGTTTCTAGGAATTGAAGGGGAAAATGCACTACGAGCCGTCACGTCCTTCCTTCCCGACACATCGTTCTTTATTTTCACCGAAGAAACTGTATCCTCTTTCACCCGCCGCCGTCGATGCCCTCTTCTTCACGATCGTCATCATCTTCTTCCCAACAGTTTTCTTGCTTCTTTCTCGTCGTTTTTCTGTACTCTGCCAAGTGTTCGAGGCCTTCTCCTTCAATCTAGCGATTGAGAATCTGAATCGGCAATTTGGGAAATAAGGCATCATTCTTCAGTCATACTGTTAAGTGACACCGTTAAAAGAATGGACGAAAGTGGATATTTTGTGTATTTCAAAAGTTGTGGCTATAACTGTCACAAACGTGAAAGTTGTGGCTATGGAAGTGTATTTTTCTTTTTCTTTGTTAATCCACGTGGATCGCCAACTCAGCGATTCCGTCAGTTCAGTCATACTGTTGAGTGGCACTGTTAAGGGGATGAACGGAAGTGACCCAAATGTGAAAGTTGTGACTATTGAAGTGTATTTTGCCTTTTCTTTATATTCTCAACTTTTGTGTTAGTATATCACAATTCACAAGTATATTAACACTATAAATTCTCACAAAAAATTTTTAACACTAGAAAAGTGAACAAAAATATAAATTACAAATCACTAATACTAGGAGAAACAATGAAAAGGATCGTGAGATGCTAAAAATATATGAGTAATACGAATAAGGTGGAAAAAAACGAACAAAGGCTTGGTCTAGTGGTAACACCACTAACTTTGAAACCGAAGATCTCAAGTTCGAATCCCTTAAGCAGTACCTAAATAACAATCATACAATTATTATATGCATTGTATAATTGAGTGGATTTAAGTTGGATAGTTGAATAATCATGTCACTGGAGGTGGTTAATGGCTTGGTGTATCCATATCAAATCGATTGGATTAGTGGACTTTTGGATCCAAGTTGCATAAAAATATGGGAACATTACTAAAAATTGTGAAAATTTTAAATATTAAAATGTTATCATATTGAACGAAAAGAAAAAAATTATTATTATAAAAAATTGTAGGTACCAACATAATTTTTCAATGATATTTTCATAAAAAGTTAAAATTTAGGTATCAAATTGTAAAGTATAAAAATACAGGTGCTAACTATAATTTGTCACAAATTCATGAATCCATAAATGCAATTTAATTTTGATTAAACGGATTGGATTAATTGAATTTTTTAGTAGATGAATTGGATTCAAATTGCCACCTCTAATCCTCACTCATTACCCATGATGTTTGGGTTCAGATTTTATTTACTCTGACTAATTCCTTGACCCTTAACAACCTTACCACGTGTGACGTGCCACAACCCATTCGATGATATGCCTAATGATTTTACGAGCCACGATTGTTGTAGGAAGATGAATTTGCTGGAAGAAACATCGATTTCTCTCCTACCTCACTTGCCAACAGACAACATAGAGGACACATATATGAAACCGACCATTGACACTATCTGACTGATATGAAGGCCAACAAATACAATGAATGACTGAGCTGATATCATCTGTGTGAGGCTTCAGAGTGTTGTACACCTTGATTCAACTCCATACATCACGAGCAACTAAGAAATCGACAAGAAGATGACTGACCAGTGACCCTCTCTTCTTTGCAGTGGATGAGTCTGCATCGATTGGCAAGCATTCATATTTTTAGCGTAATAATTTCTTGTAGAAGTATAGCCATAAAAAGCCACACACCTTGGAGGGAATAACATCATTACACACAGATGCAACTTATGCAACTAAGAAATCTAGATAACCGGGAAACATGCCTTCAACAAGCAACCTATTCACATAACAAAGATAGAAAGAATCATCGGGGTTTGGAGACCAAACCAACCGACAAGGATCGTGTCACTGACGGCTAGCACCAACAGAGTTAAGCTTATTAATCAAAGTCACTCTGTCCCTCTCAGCCCCTTTCAAAGATACTCTCACTGTCTCACCTGAGCGGGTAGCCGAATAAAAAATTTAGGCTCTAGGGCTAGACACGACAGCAACGGCGTGGGAAAGAATCAACAAGCACAACACCAGACATCCAACAATCAGGGCAAAAAGAAACCCAAGCACCTCCCACGGGATCTAGGGATGGCAGTGTGTAAAATAATAGTGGGTATAATCCGCACCCGTCCAGTCAAGTCCGCTTTAAAACCCGTTAATATCGGATACGGGCAGGATTCGGGGAAAACTGGAATATGC